GCTCTCGGCCACGGCCGTCAGGAACTGCCAGGATTGCTCCTGCTCCTCCCCGTGCAGCGTCAGGGTTTGGGGCACGGGGGTCCAGAGCATGTGAACGGTGGGACGGGGGCCCCCCTCCACCTCGGGAACCAGCGTCCTCCCGTAGACATAGCTGTGGGGGACAGCAATGGGGCGAGGGAGAGCAGAGCAGGGACCCCCAGCAGTGGGGCACTGGGTCCTGTGCCTGCCTAGTGCCTACATTTCAGCTTTGTTGTCATCCCACGCAAGAGCAGAGGAGACCAAAATTCATTACGACTGGTCCCCGGTCGCAGGAAGCCCTTCTTAGAGGTCATCTCCTCCAAACTCACCATCATCCCCAGTCCCATTTCTTTGTCACCACATCTAGTCCCTGTGGCCTTCACTGCTCTTTTACACGTCAGTGTAAGTAGTAATTTTGGAGTTGTAACTAATAAAAATGTTTCTGTACTTAATTCTTGTTTGTTTGGTTTTTTTAATCTACCTGCCAGGAGGAAGCAGAAGCCTCCACTTATCGCTTCAGCCCTGCTCTACCCCTTGCTTTTGCAATCCATCCCCTAACGTGGAGCAGGAGCGTGGAGCAGTCCACGAAGGGTGTGTTCAGGGCAAGGTCCCCCCGTGGTCCAAACTCACTGTGCTCCCTGGAAGTCTGGTCCCTGGTTGAGGTCCAAGTCCTGGCTCTTTGGCACAAAAGGCGTCTGGAGCTGGACGGTGATGGGCCGGGCGGTGCGAGTCGATCGATGGATGGTGATGCTGAAGGCCATCAAGTGGACGAGGGAGTGGTGAGCGTAGAGCTGATGGGTGGCTGCAAAATCAGGGGACTGAAGCACGTGGCTGAAGGTTCCTGTAAGCACAACAAGAGCCAGCAGCCTTTTGACTCATCAGGTCCTGATACTCCTCCCCACACGCCCATTTCTGCCTTATCTGCCTGTTCCTACTGGTGAAGGAACCACCTGTGCCCTATCCAGGAGCAGCTTCTGATTGGACACTATTGACACACTGAATGTGGCCAAGCCATTGAGAAATGTGCTGTCAAATATTTTCTCAGGCTTCATGATTAAACAGTGTTTGCCGAGCCCAGCAGGGACTGAGATGCAGTCTGAAAATCACTCTTATTCTCACAAGAGCGGGGAATTTTCCACTTGCTCCAACACGCCTTCAGAAGAACAACACCCTGTGGGTGAACAGGGAGCAGAAAGACGCGACCTTGTGGAAGAGGCAACACAGGCAAAAGGACTCTGACCTCCTAGAAGAGGGTCACCAGCCATTAGAGGGAAGGAGCAATGAGTGCCCGAGGTGCAGATCTGCCAGGAGGCAGCAGGAGAGGAGATCCCTGCCCGTGCTCTGCTGCTCACCCGTCCGGGTGTCCAAGGAGAAGGTCTCGGCCAGGCTGTCCACGCTGGGCACCGTCATCCTCACGTTGACGGGGCTGGGGACGTCAGCACGGTGGGTGTCTCCCACAGCCCCGTTGTACACGCCGTTGACGTGCAGGATGTCCCGGTAGACGCGGGTGCCCAGGTAAGCGTTGGTGACCGTCGGCAGCAGCCGCGGGTCCGAGGGCAGGGCGGTGGAGGTGAACACCGCGGGGTCCTCTGTGCCATCGGCCATCTTCGCCAGCCCAGGCTGCTGTTTTTTTTAGGGTAAAACCACAATGTCAGGGAGCTGAGCGCGGCCGTGCCGGCCAGGGCCACGCGCTGCTCCTCGCCCTGCAGCCCCCCCACAATGCCCCAGTCGTTAGCAGAGATGGTCGCTCGCCCACCTCCAGCCCCTGCCGTCCCTGGGGTCTCCTCTCCTCTGGTCTCCCGCCCAGTCACCAGCAGCATCTCCACCAGCAGTTCTCCTCCCTCCCCAAGCCAGGTCCCCTGCTCGCTCCCACACCTCCTCCAGCTCCCCCAAACCCCACTCGCTTCCTCAGTTCCCTCTAGGTTCTTCCTCTTCTGCTGGCGACTCCGTGACAAGATCTTACCATTTTCTCCCAACACGACACAGCCGCCTTCCTCCTCTTTGCTCCTAGCGCTATTCCCTGACACTGTTCTTCCACGGTCTCAGCCATTCCCGTCTCTCAAGGAGCCGTACCCCCGTGCGCCCCCTCACTCTCGCATGCCGAGCTCAGCTTCAGTTGCTGGCTCGCTGGGCTGGGAGTTTTTCATTTCATTGACATAAATAAATACATCAGAAGATATATTTTTTGTATCATATATAAATATATGTTAAAGATAGATACTCCTATAGGCACACATAAAGAGCACCTCACAGAAGGGAGCTGCTGAGCACGGCAACGACACGGAGAGGACAACACGGTGCTGGCGCAGAGAGACTGTCAGCGGAGCTGGAAAAGTGGCCGAGAGCTCGGCCAGCCCTGAGACA